CCGAGCATGCCTCGACATCAGTGCTAGTAAATAGAGGGTCATGACAAATCACCTTCCACCTTGCAAGGAGACGTCTGTAGGATGACAAAGCTACCCTTAGATATCGCCAGCGTCAGTGGAAGAGCAGTGCCAGAGAGCATAACCCACAGCTGTCCCAGTTAACAGATCTCAGTCTCAGTCTCAAATCAATATGCATCCGGTGAAAATTGTTTTTTCCACTTTTCTGTGTACTGCACAGAAGAGAAAAAAAAGAGCGTGATTTCCTCTCCTCAAGAGTGGTGCTCGCATCTCACCACAAGAAACCCAGACACTCAGTTCAGACGCGTTATGGCGTTGTGGCAGCTTCTCATGTGACAGCATCACCTTCAGATTAACAGGAACATACACTACATGAACCCCTACTCCCCCTAACACCCTCCCACCACCCCTTGCTGGCTTATACTGACAGCAATGTCGGCTAATAAAATATTAGCCTTTCCCAAAAGCCAGCACAAATCATTAGTGTGATCACATGTAGCAGCCTGCAGGTCTGTGTTTTCTGTGTGGGTGTGTGGGAGGGATTGCCCTTCCAACAAGATCTGATGTTGCCTTAATTATACAGTTCAGCAGTTGTAGACCTGAACATGCACATGCACAGTCACAGTCACAGCTGCGTCTTACATTCGCCACACCTGCTTACAGTCTCTTTCCATAGATTTTAGCCTGATATTCAAAGCTATGTGCTGATTTCTTAGTGCAACAGACGTCTGGTTTTTGATGCCTTTTTTTTTGCATTGCGCTGCTGCTTAACTTCTTTTTATTCCACAGTGAGTTTTAGTGGGCTTTATATGTGTGGTCTGCAAAAGGACACCGTACGCTTTTAATAATGTCCAGTCTTCTTCGTGTTTCTGTTCGTCCAAGCATTTACCGTTCATCCCATCTATTCACTTTGGAACAGGTTTAAATCCTCATAGCTTCCTTGTAACCTCATGATTCTTTTATATCTTGATTTCTCTCTGGTATCCACCCTAAGGTATCTCATAAAGTGATGTCTACTGCTGAGAGACTGAGTGTACTAAAAGACCGAGGGAGGCATTATAAGAAATCGGCTGGGAGAGAGACAGAGAGTATATCATATGGCTAATTTAAACAGTCTTTTTAAGATTGTGGCTGCACATTCAGTCTGAATCTTGCCTTAACATATTCCTTTACAAAGACCTTGTGAGTGTTTAAGAAATAATGAGACAACGCCTGGGTTGAGACTGTAGATAGGAGACTTTCATCTGAATGAAAATGAGGTGCACCATTTTATGGGTTTGCCTATTAATATCAGTAAGGGTATAATATGCTTTATATAGCTTTATTCAAAAGCAAGTTCCACGTAGGAGGTTTTTGGGACCAATTCTGACAGTTTTACACTTTATTTACTGCAGTTAGAGAACTCTATCTGAGCCCCTGTATGAGTCTGTGAAGCTAGGGGAGCCACTCTTCTGCTTCTTCTCTTATCATAACAGCTTTGACTAAGTGCATAGTCATCCTGACTTATTGACCATAACTGAAAGGCAGTCTGACACTAGCTCCAAATAGTTCCTGTTTACAGCGATGAGCTCAGTGTCCTGCTGCTTTGGTATCTCCTTATTATCAGTCTAAAAACTCAACTGGTGGAGAACTGATATTGATATTAAATGCGGGTTTGAGTATTGATACTGGTACTTTACGAACCCAGACACAAGCAGAGTGCATGAAACCAATCACAAGTAATGGATACACTCAAATTCAAAGACTTTGAGCACACTCCAAATGCAAAGCAGTTCATATTGTTTATCACCAGGGAGGGGCATTTATAGAATATCATTGCTACCGATACTGTTTTTGATTCTGATTATAGGTTAGCGCCTTCACCTTTTCTCTTATTGATTCCTGATTTGTTTCTTTGTGGAAATAAGAAGTCCTACACAGTTTTTCAGCATCAGCACAATTGTTACATTATCTCTGTGGCTGAACACATTATAGTAACCGAGTAAAAAAAAAGAAAGACTCAGTATGAGTTTGACATCATTGTTAGTCAATGCATAGCTGTCAGAAAAACAAGCCAGCATTGTTAAACGAATTGATAAGCTGGGAGGCAAAAGATGTAATTATTTGGAACCAGTTCTTCATTGCCACCCTTACTAATGACACTGTTATAAACAGAAAATGGATGTCTACCAGCGCTGCTACTTTATGGCGAAAAATCACAATCAGTTATTTTAGTCTATAATGAGATCGCGATTATTTAACACAATTACTCACAGATGGAAAAGAATAGCGACATTATCAAACTTTCAAAAAAGAAAAAACTTATTTTATTAATTAAACCGATTTTTTTTAATACGTTTTACTCGCGAAGCTGGCTAAAACCACATATCCAAGTCAAGTACCATCTTCTTTGTGTTTCCAGGCTGTTCTGCGGATGAAACTGAACTTGGATGCCACGTTGAATATTTTGGCAGCGCAGACACTGTGTCCAGTCTAGTCACAACTACACACTGGATGCGTTTTGCCATCAGAGTAACAATCGCCACAAAACACAATACAGCTGTAGCTCACAGCTTGCGTGCTGTCTTTGAGGTTGCTTTTTGAAGGAACCTCTGCGTGATTTTTTGGGAAAGACCATTTGATGTACTGAACCATGTTTCACATTTATGATGTGAGGCATTGCAGGATAAACTTAAAAGTTTCATCACTGCAACTACTACTTTTACATTTGTCCAGCAAGATTGGGAATATGTTGGCTCTAGAGTAAGCTTTCCCCTCATCTATGACTTGGCTGCTCATCATTTTTTTAGGGGCAGCCAAGCTTGTCTGATGTTAAAGTATGAAAAGTGGTGTAAATAATGAAATCAAGAAGTGCTGTGCCCTCTAACAAAGCTACGTAACGTTGTCAGAGATGCTGTAATACACGCTTTATAACATTGATTTGGATCCTATTGTCACAGCTTTTTTTGGTAGGTTTGACCAATTGAAAAAACTAATTGAAAATCATTCATTCTGTGTCTGACATCTTTTCTGGTTGTTAGTGGCAACAACTAATAATCACCTTTTCTTATTTTTATATATTTTTTTGCAGAAATTGCTTAAATGTGTGCCAACCCCTGCTTTGTTTCTCTTTAACCCCGATGATTCACTTAAACGCAGAAACACTCTTGTCTAATGTCCAGCAGCCATTGAATGACAGAATTAAATCTGCCCTGCTGGATAATTATGAAGCTGTAAGTGTTTCCTTCTGGGAAATAAACATAACCTTGTTACATTTTCTTTCTTTCCTTTTTCTTTTTGATGTGACGTACCCGGCGCTGATTGAAAAGCAAGTGCGATAGTTGTTGATGCTTTTCGACAAACAGATACTTAATGGCGGATTTACATTTTACTGATACACTGAACATGCAATTGGACATTCGCATCAAATAATGCCATTAATCATGTGCACATCTCATTCATCACCCTAACCCTTTCTACTCTGACCTTTAAATACTGCTAAATGGGAGGCACATTCATTCAGAAGCCTCAGCTACAGGTTCATTTCCAACAGAGAAAGCCTAAACCAGATACAAACATACACTACATCACAAGTATTTAAACTATCATCCTGTAAAAATAGCCCTGATTTGCCGTGGACATGGGCTCTCTGGGGAATCTTGTTGGGTGCACTTAGTTGCCAGTTGAGGTCTCTGTGGATCAGACTGTTCACACTTGGGACCTGGGAGTTATGAGAGCAGTGTAGTGTGACTAGATGGTCAGTATTTGTCTTTGAGTGGTTTTAATGTCCACTGTATAGACTCTGAAACTTTATCCAGCTAAAATTAAGCACTCATCAGTCTGATGACTACCCCTCTACCAACGGACCTAATTGGCACACCAGATGTCAGTGCGAGGACAATTTTTAATCCAAATGATAAAAGTAAATATAAATGAATGCCTGCTGTTTATTGTATAGCTGCAGTGGTTTTTATTGTTCAGTAAACCCTTTCAAAGCAATGTAATGGGTTGGTATATTGTATAGGCCAGTAATTAGATTTTTATTAGGACAATGAGTACTGTTAGTTAAAACATGGACTACATGAAACTTTGCTGGGAGGAAAGATGGAAATGCACAAAAACAGCAAGACTACTACGTTTTGGAAAAAAAAGCTTTGATTTGATGTTAAAGGGAGCTGATGTTATTCTGTATTTAAACTGAAAACTGACTTGAACATTAGATGCTGATCAAAAAAGCTCTCAGCCATGACTCTTATGCTGGATATTTAATAGTGGATTAAGTTGAATTACTATGTCTATGGCCATCACTGTGCAAACAGCACTTTCAGTCTTTGTGGATACCCTCCTGTGCTAAAGTATTGACAGGATTAGCATAACTAGTTTTGTCTCACCTGTCTCGCATTACATCGCCAGTCTGTCAATGCCCACTGCATGTGTTTTAGCAAGCACCTAAAGGATGTACTACAGATAAGAAATCACACTCATATCTGTTTAGTCAGTATTAGGGACCTACAAGTAACTAGCTAGATTAGCTTAGCCTGAAGCTTGGGAAAATATCAAAAACAGCTGGCCTGGCTCTGTCTGAGGGTAATGATAAAAGCTTGAGCATTTTTTGAGTACAAACTTCTCATGTGACATCATGCACACATTGCTTAATTTGTCAGACATATTGGATGTGATACAACCACCGGTTGCTAGGGCTAAATGTGTGCGCCCCAACTGGTTGGCAGGTGTTTCCTGGAGGTTTTTGGCTGTTGCTGGATGAAATCGTTTGCTTTGGGTGCTAGCACCTCTTACCCTATGGCAGCTGGGATAGGCTCCAGCCCTCCCACAACCCTGAATTGGATAAACAAAAGAGGATGGATGCATGGATGCTAGCAGACTGTCACAGTTGCGTGTAGTTTTTCATGTTTGTCTAAAAAATACTCACTAACTACTAGCCCAAGGGTGTTATAACTTCAAAAAGTGAGAGGCAAACCTGAGATGGAGAAGGGTCACCTTCAAAGCAAAAATTGTGTCTCAGTGCTGCAGACAACATGTTTCAGAAGGCGCAACTTTTACTTTGAAGGCAAAGCTTCTCCATTTCTGGTTTGTGTTGTACTTTTTAAAGTTTTACTACAACTTGAAGAGCTTACCAGCATTTGCAGATGAGTGCATCACTCCTATGACAATCAGAAGGAGGTTTTCAGGAACTAGTTGGGGAACAAACATTTGCCCCTAGAAACAGGCGTTTGCTACGGGGTGGACTGTAGACTCGTGTGACTGGAGCTTTATCAATCACTTTCACAGTGATTGCAGTCAACCTCCAGCAAAAAACCTAAAATCTAATGTTTGCCTTATGACCTGTGTTGGACAGATGGCCTGTGTAACCAGGGGCTTATTCGCTTTATTCTACATAGTCAGCGTGATTGTCACGTGTCCAAAAGTTGTCAGCACCTACATGTTTTTTGCTGTTGTCCGTTGCTGGGAAACCTTCAGCTACATTAGACAGGGATAAGATTTTTCACAGTAAAACAGAGGTATGCTAAATGTTTCTCTCTGCAGTTAACTTATATTACTCTTCTCATATGAAAGTGGTAAAAATTTTCCCATCTAATTCTTGGCAATTCAGGGAATAGTGTTTCCTGTAATACTAAAAAATTCCTCTGAGATTTTCATTGTCTTGCATTTAAATTTTTAATTAATGTGACATTGGGATATTGTCACATGGATGATTAAGGCTGAGTAGACAATCTAATCATCTTTCTGCTTATTCGCGATCTAAAGTTTCACATGGGGCTCCCCAGCACGAAAGACTGGCAACACACAAATGCTTTACTATCCACTTTGTGAAGCAGTCTATAGTGCTTTCGCCACAAAGCCACAAGTTGTTCTCAGTGGATTACCACTTACTGATGGATGAGAACATTTGAAGAAATCTTTTGAAAAAGTGTCCTCAAGTTTAAACTATGCTTTTGACTCTCATTAAGCCATGGTGCCTGAGGCTTTACATAAACCACAAGAGACTCCACTTAGTGCCTCTGTGTCTTAAATTGCAATTATTTTCTGAAAACACCTTGACATAGACTTAAATGTAGACTGCACAGTGGATCAACGGTAAGACGCATCAGCTACTAAAAAATGTTCATTTATCTGAGGGTTTCATGTCTGAATGCTTACCTTCGTAAAATCAGCAGCAGTGGCGGCAATCACGCCGAGTCACACCTGATAACATTAAGTATCCTTTACAACATAGCGCGTCTGAATGCATGGAGTCAAATCCATTATTGGATTGGCGCACACAACACTGTACTGTGTTTATTCAGAGTGAGAGAGTTTCATGCATTTGTGCACACAGCACAACAGCAGTACTTCATTAATTAGTTATGTGAGATTATCCCTGACATTGAGACAGGATTGATCAGGATCTCACTGCAAATTACATTATGTACTTCACTTCAGGCAGGTGAACTGTAGTTTATAAGCTACATTTGTATATGTACAAGTTTGTATGGATCTATTCCCATAACCACATACACAATGTGGCTCCTGTAGTGATCAAAACAACTATCGCATTACAGCTGCTAATCAAAGAAAAGTTAAAATAATTCATTATATGTTACTTAGTGTCAGATCTTGCTCATACTACATAATATTGTGTGAAACTGGTAACTGCTCTGTCAATGTTCCCTGAGGATTATTAACATAAAACTGACCCATATGAATCACCGAATGCCTACATTTTAAATATTCATGAAGCCAGCAATGTTACATATCCCATGTCTGAGAAGGAATGAGTGTAGCCTCAGAAGGACTGAAAGTGATGGTCCGCCATAGACTGTCAGCAACTGTGTGAATTTCAAGTTCACAGTCGATAGATGAAAAGTAAAGATTTTCCCGATGGGCTCACTGCAGTAAACACAGAGCTCCTGTAGAGAGTTGAACAAGGTTAGAGTTTTGTGGCAACTCAAGTGTTTGCCAATGAGTCACAATTGCTAACATGCTCTATTTTAATTCCTTTATTCTCCCCATTATCGCCACACTTCCCTCACTGTGGATCCAGGGCTGCTGCTTCGACTGTCTTTGAAGATGACGGCCATGACTAAACAAGGTCTAAGTTGTTATGACAGTGGAAATCCTCCGTTCCTATTTAACTGTTGGCACCAGTGCCTGAAGGCCAGGGTGTGCAAGAAAACCCAAAGTTTACAGTCCTGATACGCCACCTTTGTACCACCCCAAACAGAATGCTGAGGCGAGAACAGACCAGCTTTAAAGACCAGCACTTTACAGAAAGAGGCACTATAAAATAGGCAGCATTTGATTTACTCCTGGCCTCTGTTTTGAGTGGTCTGCTATCACATCATGAACCACAATACAATCTTTTAATGATATGTGCGCCTAATGCATCTCAGAGCTGAAGGACTCCAAAATGCACCCTTTATGAAGAAGCACTGCTGCTTATTTATATTCAGTAGCTGTTACAGCTATAAAAGCCCACTTAAGAAAAAGTCAAATGCAATGCATTTAAAATATATACTAATTTATTATAAAAGAAAAGGTCAGAAAAACAAAGTTAGGTTCCTTTGTTTTCCTAAGTCTATACCCGGAAACACCACGTTTCTCTTAATGATGTTCACTATTCTTCTTTCAGTACTTTCAATCACTCCAAAAGGCTGCTGTGGTTATTTTCTTAAAGTTTCTGCATGTTAACAAAAGAAAAAAACCAAAAAGCTCGTAACCCCGTGTAGTTACTTCCAGCAGAGAGTGTAATGAGTTTTTATTTCGGTGTTCTCGTTTATGCAATAGATGGCCTTGCATTCATGAGTAAAAAATAGCATGGACTGGGTGTTTGCAAATGTGTGCTTATAAGAATAAGCGTGTTAACTGGACTCAAAGACTTTATTTGTCACAGACACAGTGGATATGTGTGCTTCAGTGCAGTCTGATATAGTGATCATAAAGCCATTTCCAGCAAGCGAACCTGAAAAGGATTTTTAAAACGTATGACTTTAAAAAGTGTAAAATGTACATAAAGTGTGTAAAACTCAGTCTTGACCTTGCAAAGGGTAATTGAGAGAATAGCTGAGAAGCTTCTTGAGTTTTTTCAGAGCTAAAGCCTTTCCTATCCCTAGACGAATAGAAATATTTCCAGGCTCTCAGTAAACAATAGTCTCTTTGTTAAACTGGTTATAATTCTAGCTTAGGACACAGATCTAATGTACACCTTGTTTTGTGTTCTCTTTACCTCTCTGTCAGGCCACCTCCATCAGACTCAGGACCTAAAGCAGGCGGCCAGATCGGTCATGGGACAGGTGACAGGTTGGCTTCCCATGACACCCCACAGCATGCTGCGCCTCATGGAGAGCAAGGCCAGGGCCATGTGGCCAGGAAGAGTCTGCAGGTGGACGTCGGTAGTAGCAGAACTGGGAGGTCCCCTTCTGCGTCCCCAGACCGAGGCAGTGTCCCCACCTCCCCTTACTCTGTGCCTCAAATAGCACCCATGCCCAGCAGCAAACTGTGCCCCGTCTGCAAAACCACCGACTTGATGGGCACTGGGGATGACAAGCCGAACATCAACACCTGCACGCAGTGCCGCTCCATGGTGTGCAACCAGTGTGGCTTCAACCCAAACCCTCACCTAACAGAGGTAGGTGGTCTGCTTCACCAAGATGTTTTTATTTTCAAGGATTGTTCTCTTTTATCTTTCATTACAGCAGACCAGTGCCACATAGTAAAGGTGAATTCATCTGATTCCCGGTTACTGTCAGTGAGGGAGTTACAAACGTAGTGAGCATCTGCCATGGTGCATTCGCACGGAAACAAAAACATCTCAAATACTGCTAAAAAGGTTAAAAAAATGCAACCGTGTAATCGACTGCACAAACATATTTGGAATGAATTCAGGCATACAGCATTGCAGACTGCCTCAGAGCTAAAGAGAATAAAAGGAAGAGGGCTACTCTCTAATGTTGACAAACTGAGCACAAGATTTTCCTTGTAATTTTGATCTGCTTTAAAATAGGACCAAGTCTAAACACCATCAGGTTTTGTTTGTTGTCACATGATTGTATTATTTTCATCATCAGTCAAATATGTGTACTGCACGTCTAAACTCCTGTCAGTATAAACTTACCTGGGACGTTAGGAGGTACACCTTGCTAGTACCACGTTGGATCCTCTTTTGCCTTCAGGCCTGTTTTAACACTTTATAGCATAGATTCAACAAGATGATGGAAACATCCCTCACAGATTTTGGTCCACATGATAGCATCACACAGGTGCTGCAGATTTGAGTACAGTGAAATCATTTTCATGTTCATGAAAGCAGTTTGAGATGAGTTGAGCTTTGTGGCATGAAGTGTTCAAGGTTCAACATGTTGTGGGTTCAGAGATGATCTACTGCAATTGGTTGTAATGAGTTGTTGTTTGAATTAGTGTTTCCTTCCTTCCATCCTCCTCTGACCTATGGCATCAACCAGCCACCTTTGCTTTTTTGGACCATTTTCTGTAAACCCTAGAGATGGTTGTTTGACAGGAGATCACCAGTTTCCAAAACACTCACATACAAGACCAGCCCATCCATCAGACAACAACAGTTTCAACTTCAGCAGGTCGTCTTGACTACATGCCTAAACATGATTGGTCGCTGCCATGTGATTGACTCTTTATGATGAACAGGTGTACCTAACAAAGTGGCTGGTGAGTGTACAAACTGACTCACTTGTTGCTGTAGTGGAGGTCAGTCATTGGTGTCCTTTGCTCCTACGGGTTATCAGTAATTGAACTCAGTACCTGCTCACTTTCCAACAGCTCTTTCACCAGCTGTCGCCATGGTCTCTGGCTGCTGCACTGCCAGTCTTTTCCTCTACACCCTTTGTAACGTCATAGTGGTGTATGCATTTTTTTTTGAAGTGGGTGATTCAGGTGCTACAATTTGGTTTAATTTGTCTTTTGAATGTTATTTCTCATTGACATTTATGAGTAATGCTGTTGATGACAATTGTTATCAAGTTGGCTCTGACTGACTCATGGGTTGAATTGCACCAAATGAATGGGAGTCAAGATGTGAATTAGATGCATGTTGTTTGAGAGCTGTGAACTTCTGCTCCAGCCATGATTTCTCTTGATAGGTGGAGTATTTAATAGTTTGGTTGGCTTATAATCTTTCATCTGCAAAGACCTGGTTGCATGCGCTTTTCCAAGGTGCATAGTAATATATTACTCACCCCCTACTAGCCATAATAAATCAGAGGCTCTTACCTCTAGAGCCAACTCTGTTGTTTATTCAGCTAATCTATCTTTACATAACACTTATGTGAAGTATATTGTGCCTGTATATTATACATCCATCCTTTCTGACAAGCACATCCTAATCATGCCCAGAGCCTCTTCTGAAAAATCTGAACAGATTCTTATATCATCCCAAAAAAGGAGCACAACACATTACCCCATCATTCGCAATCATTCATATGCGTCTAAACACTCATCGCTGTTAACAGGTAGCTAAGAAAGCCTATTGCCTTCATCTGAAAATAAATCACTTGCCTAATTTGAATTAGGCCATGCTTCACTGTAACTGTGAGTCAAGTGTGGCTGTGTCATCTGTCACAAAGTTTCAAATCAACTTCACTGAGTCATGTTGCAAATTGAAGCCAAGAAGCAATGTCAGTTACGCTGGCCTACAGGCTATCAGAGCGACCGTAGGCTGAGTAAATATTAGGATGCAGAATATAATGTTTAGGTTTTTTGAACGATAAATGCGTGCATGTAAATGTACTGCCCAATGGGTGTGTGTAAGCTTGATGACATGTATGCATCGGGTGCATAAGAGAGGAGACTGCAAACGTTGGAAGAAGAAAGCAGTGGGAAATGGAAAGATGAGAAAGAAAAAAGCATGGACCAAAGTGGAAACAGACAGTAAAGAATAGATCATGGCAGGGAGTGAAGGAGAGCATGGCAGTAAAGAGAACAGCGGAGGTGGGTGCTTTTCAGCTCAGGCTTGGTGTGCTTGTCAGATCCTGACAGAGAGAGAAAGAAACAGGGAGGGAAAATGTCCAGCCTCTGGAGACCTGAAGATTTACCCCCTTAACCTACTTAGGATGGATTTGGCTTCAGCCTCACTACAGCATATCTAAAACAGCCTTATCACTCATCAGGGAAACTGATGACAACCAAGGTGATGATAATGCAGAAGATGACGATGACAGGAATTACGATTACAGTGATGGGAACTGGCCCAGAGAAAGGATAGCCATAGCAAGGCTGTGTCAAAATCCACACAGGGATTCTCTTGATTCTTAATAGTAAAATATTTGTATATAAACATATATCCTGTCCTGTATAATAACAAGGTTTTGGGATTTTCTGAGATTATAATCTTGTTTTCATTTGAACATTTGGTGTTTTGTGTGAAAAATTACCTGAAGAATTTTCTCATTCGTTGTAGTTTCAGGATTAGACCTGTGATGACAACACACTATTAGGACCATTTCTTGTGCAAGAGATGTGTGTCTGCAAATAGTTTACAGAGACCCACTGAAGTCCCCCAGATTATCAGGATAATATGAGCAAAAATCTGTCATTGAAGAGGATTTCCCATTAAATCACAGAAAGATGGCAGTGCCGATTAAAGTCCTGATAGCTGTGGATGATTTCATGTTTGGATTTTTGAGCACAGACTCAAATAGCGGGGCTAGCCTGGATTTTCTTTTAAGAAGCCACATTATCTTGTAAAGAGAAGCTCTCTTCACTCTTTGAGGGGTGAAGATAATTGTTGCAATGCACGTCAGAGCTGTGTTAAACTACCTCTTGATGGTAATGCAATTTGGATGTAAACAGCAAGCGACAAATGGATCTCACAGACCGCATCTGTTACGTGGCTGTCAGTCAAGCTGAGAAGACAAGTTTTATTTAGACATGATAGCTACGAATTCAGACATGCCAGCTATCGTGCACGTGAACTAAGACTTACATGTGACGTGACGCAGGTAGCACCGAAATGAGAAAACGAGAAAGCCAGAAAGGCAAGAAATGAGACGGTCTAAAGGCAGGCTTAGAACAACAAAGAACAAGAGCAGTGAGAGCGATACTGAGAATACCACAGACATTCTCCCCTGACAGTGTTCTCCCACCACCATACAGGGGAACATCTGCTTCATAATTGGTCCAATTTCTATTTATAGACCCTACCCTCCTTCTGTCTGCAACGGTGGCCCGGTCCTGAGAAGCCACAGCTGAAAGAAGGAGGGAGAGGGAGAGAGAGACAGAGCTGGTTGAAAAAGCTGTGCCGTAGCAGGAGGAGACAGAACGGGAGGAGAAAAAAAAGCATCATCATAAATTAACCATAATAGCCAGAGTGTTCGTACTGACACTATCTATCTCTGCATAAATTCAGCGTAGGGAGAAAAAAATACCCCAACAACAACAAAATGGAGAAACAAATCAGAAAACAATGCTAAGATGCTTTTGAAAACGAAATTTTTTCTTCATACAGTTTGGTGATGAAGACACACCCCTGACATGGAGCTGAAACATTCTTCAAACAAGTCATGAAACAATGACTCTTTAAAGTCTTTGTTTCAGAAATGCCTTGGAGGTTCTTCTCTTTCTTTCTTTTTTTATCAACAATCCCACAAGCTGAAAGAGCAGTTTTAACAAATGCTCCCACACAGAAGCACTCTATCTCCTCATTCGAGTTTAAAATATAGCAGGTAGGTGGCCACAGTTTACAGTTGCAGTAGATAGATTTAGCAACCAAACCAAAAGCAGTAATATCGATTTGGACTCTACAATAAAATGTTTCCAATCAAGATCAGACAAAAAGCTTCAGTAATCAGATGAAACAGGCAGACGTTCAGTATAAAAAGAAAGAGAGAAACCCACTGTACATCTGTTAGGCACCAAACAGCAGACTGGCCTCGTAGACACTGTGTACTGAAAACCACAGATTAGATTACCGCGCTATTGTCATTGTTAGTTAGTGAAGGCCCACTTTCTAGCTTCAAACGGAGAATTTTTGCCATCTTGGTTTTGAAATTGGACACAATGAGTGAGGCACAGGGCTGACTAAAAAACTGAGGCTCACTACATACTCTTTGGATAGTCATATGTCTGACAAACGAAAAAAACAAAAACATCCCTCTAAAAGGCATAAATTCAATTACCCTTGAAACTAGAAACTGAGACCACAAACTGATCAGGAAAGCATATACTGGGTGCACAGCTGGACGTCTTTTGTACACAAGCTTACAGTTAAACACTACATTTCTCAGTCAGACATGGGACTGTTTAAATCGACTTTAATGCTCTAAAGTTCTAATCCCAAGGCTGAAAATCAATTTTCTCAAGCGACACCAACCGGGGAGAGCAAGCTGTCCATAGTGTCATAAGTAAACATTCTGTAATTTTCAAGCATGCTCGAAGGCAGCTTTGTGGGTTGTGAGTGTTTCAGGTATGGTATTGATCCCAGTTTGACCTTAAACTTGTGATTACTTCTAAACTTTTAGAAAGTGCGCTGTGTTCTTCAAACTGAGGGCCACTTGAGTTTTTTGCTGAGCTAAAAGGAAAAAAAGAAGGAGTCTATCTGCATATGTGTGACTGTTTATATTTCTTAAATAGTTCAACCAGTCTGCTTCCTGTTCGGAAGGT